ATGTAAAGTTGGTAAGTGAGAGAGAAGCCATATTGTTTGAAAAGGTTAGCTTTTTACTTCTTTGCAGATTTATGCCCTGTGGCTTCTATGCCCAGCATTTGTCTTAAGGTATCTTTACCACTTGGAGGAATTATGATACTCGGTAAATTCGATATGAGGCACGAATTCTATTTAAGGGTTGTAATTAGGAAGGAAGAAAAGCTATAGAGGTAGCAGATGGAAGAAGACATGGGAAGATTGATTATTTCTTTGACATATCTTCTTGTAGAGTAACTTGAGCACAGACATAATTGTTTTTAAAACTTTCCCATCATTGCTTCATTTTTCATATCCTTCCTTTGCTGAAGTATTTTAAAGCAAATCCCAGAAACCATGTCATTTTGTGCTGACATATTTAGTTTGCATTTTAAAAAACACAGACAATTTCTTATATAACCACAGTGGCATTATGACACCTAACAAAAGAAAGGAATTTTTTGGCATTACCCAATTCCCAGTCCATACACAGATATTTCCTCATTGTCTCAGAAATGTCATCTTCATTTCATTTTTGTACATAGTATTTGGTTGTTAATCTTTGAATGGATTGATTTCTTCTTTACAAGGTGAAGACAGAGCAGTACATTTTATCAGATGACATACAGATTTTGTTCGTATTCATAGCTCTGAGTACTAGAGTGCTTGTAAAGCCAGTATCTGCTTTTATTCTCTAGCCACCTCAGCAAACTCCTTCCTGCCCTCTAACTTGTAAGCTCTGGGTCACATCCCTGCTCTGCTTCAGGAATTCCACTTCCTTGGAGTCATGCTTCTCTAGTGATACACTTCCACATGCAGCCATTACAGGGCTATAAAAATACCGCATTGTTCTTGGTTGTGATGTGAGTATCATGAAGTGTGTCTCTTTGCCAAAGGTGACTCAGGAGTTTTGTGCCTTTTACACTGTGCTCAGACAGTGTGTGTATATGCATGTGTGTATGTAATTACATGTATATATACAATATGTAACTGAAAGGTTTAATGAACAATTGCTAACTTTATTATATGTGATGTGGTCTTAATATTGTCCATTCTATATTCTTATTTAAAAATGTTGGTTATGACCCAGTAATTGGCTTTACCACTCATTAAATAAATCCCAACCTATACTTTGAAAAATGCTAGTTTATTGGATAGCCTTGTGCAAAGGAAGTAGAAATTAATATTCTTTTCATTTGGTCTTTAGCTAGATCTACTAGTTCTAGGTATTCTTTTTTTTAAAGAATTTTTTAAAGTTTAGAAGACTGAAAATTTTGGTTGTGAATATACATAAATACGCATATGTTGGACTAGGAAAAAAAACGAACTAGATTAGGTGCTTCCACCATCTGAGTAGGTAACTTGTTTGTTCCTGAAACATTCTTATATATATATATATATATATATTATATATAGGTACGTCGTCATGAAATACATAAATCGAAGAATAGAGCATTAGTACACTGGGAACTCCAAGAAAAAGCTTTGAAAAGAAAATGGAAGAAGCAGAAACCAGAAATTGCTAATCTTGAGAGAAGAAGATTGTCTATCATGAAGGAGGTAATATTAAATTGCATAATCTTTTGAGTTAGAAAGAGAAGAGATAAGTAGGTTCTCATTTCTCCTAAATCTGTTTCACATTGGAGACTCTAGCAATAACTGTTTTCTTATACAATGATTTACACGTGGACTTTCAAAAAAGCCCAGTGATGATTAGAATCTAGTTTGGTGTTTTGAATTACTGCTGTATAATTTTTCAGCTCTTTGACCTTAAACAAATTATTAATTTCTCAGTCTGAATTCTTATATTTAAAATGGGAATAACATAGTAATTCATTAGGGTTCTTAGAGAAATACAATTTATTAGCTCTGTGATCTTAAATTGTTAGCTTCTTAGCCAAAATTTTCTCGTCTTTAAAATGGGAATAACAGGGTTATTCGTTAGACTTCTTGGTGAAATACAAAAGTCTTGAATTATATCTCCCAAATAAATGTTTGCATGAATGTGTACCAAGAGCAGTGGAATGAGAGAAAATGGTTCTTTACAGATAAGTATCTTTTAGTGCTCTTGGACAAGTCGTATACATTTAAATGTTGTGTGGCAATTCTCTGTGAAATGTCTAACAATACAGATCTGACCAGGAAAAAAGGCAGTCCCTTTGAGGAAACCAGGGCTTTTGTTTCCCCTCTCCAGGGGCTCCTGCTCGTCCTCTGAATCTCTCTCTTTTTTTTAGGGGCTTTACTGTTTATTTAATTAATGGTGATGTGTCCTGAATTTCTTATACAAGTAATAGATGTAGTAGAAGTAGGGGTTGAAGGAAGAGTGGAGAGAGGCTGGGGGAGTCTCCTTGCCTTCCCTCTGTAGCGACATTTCCTCAGGCCTTAGCGCAGTTCTCAGCTCTGACTGCACAGTGGAATCTAAGGGTTGAGAACTTTTCATTTAAAACATTCACTATATTTGGACTCAGATATATCTATATTCAGATATTCTTATTTGTTGACCTGGGTTATGGCCACACTTACGTACTTTTTAGACAGTTCCTATGTGCTGTTAATGTGTGGCCAGGCTTAAGAGCCTCTGCTTTTAGTGGGATCAGGTATTTCTATTGAACAATATATTTTGGAGGTTATTCCATGTCAGTATTTAGAAATCTATCTTTTCTTTTTAATGCTCAGGTAGTATACAGGTATATCACAATTTATTTATCCAGTGTTTTATTTGTAGACATTTAGGATGTGTATTATCATTTAAGCTTCTGCAAAATTAAGACCCCAAAATATAGTGGTTTAAAGAAAACAGAAATCTGTTTTTCTCTTATGAAACGGTTCAGAGGTAAATGATAGTTGGTAGGGGGCGCTGTGGTCCTTCATTACAAGGGTTTCCACCTGTGAGTAGAGAATGGCTGTTGCAGCTTCTTTCTGCTATATTCCAGCCAGCATGAAGTGGGAAAGAGAATTCATGCTGCTTTTTTTTCATACCACCCAGAAGTTCTGACTTATATCTCACTGTCCAGAGATCACTTGACCATTCTCACTTGCAAGGAAGGTTGGGAAATCTAGCTATGTACTTGGCTAAAACTTTGGAGTTCTCATGTTCAAGGGAAAATGGAAATAAAGGATACTGGTGGGTAAGTAGCAGTGTCTGACACCCACAGATTGTTACCTGCTTTGACGCTATAATAATATATTGAATATGTTTTTAAGTACAGTATATTTGTAGGATAAATTCTTAAAAGAGGAATTGCTGAGTCAAAGGATATACACATCTGTTGTTTCAGTGTTGCTAGATTTGTATGTCTCTGTTAAAGAATGTAATGGGACCAAAGGAAGAGGCTTCCCTGAGCATGTGCACCTAGGCTTTGTCATTATTAGAGCTACCAGGATGCATCCCTGAGAAGCTGGGCTCCTAGGTTAACAAAAATTTAGAGCAAATCTCTTTGGCCAGCATAATCTTAGATTGCATTTGCTGCATGATGTACTCATGTCATGGGAATCAAGCAAATAAGGGTTCAGATCCAAATCAGAGAGGGAGGCTTTGATAAAGATTTTATAAATTCCATGAATATAATAATTTCTCAAGTTTTTGTAATTTCCCAATTCCATCTGTTTTTTATTACCAGAGAAAAAAGTGCTGGGATGAGAAGTTTCCAATAATGTTTTTGAAGGGACCTTGACTGATCCTTTGAAAATCCAAGTGATGTGTAACCCACCATTCATAAGTTCGGCTCTGTTCTCTGCAGACCATCAGGGGAAGTAATATATACAGAAGGGCTTGCAGAGATTGGTTTACCTATCAAGAGGATGAGTTTTATTAGAGAAAAGTGATACAGAAATGTAGAAAGAATAAAAGAGAGCCAATACATTGATTTCTTGCCACTCAAATCATCTGCCCTAAGGAGACTGGGCAGGAAGGAGCAGAGGACAGCAGGGCAGTGGCTTTACTAGAGGCCTTATTATAGTTAATACCAGATATTGATATGATAGAGTTATTCCTCTGTCACTCAATTTGCTCTGTCACTCATACCAAGGTCAATGCTTTTTTAAAAAAATACTAAGCTCTTAAAACTGCCATTAGGAAATATTTTGTGTCTAATTTTTCTAGTAGAGGTGATAATCATAATGCTCCATTTATTCTTTCCTAAGCTCTAATTGCATATACTTGCAAAATGGCTAACCAAGGATAGAAATTTGTTCATGGGATAATATAATTTAAGTTGTAACAGTGTTCTCAAATATCTCTAGAGTGGTATACAGGTTTTCAGTGTGTCATCCTAACAACCCCGTGGGGTTGGAGAGATGGTCAGATCTTCATTTACACATCAGGAAGCTAAGTGAAAGAGGTTGGATTTTGCTTAGTATCTCTTGACTGAGCCTAAGATCCCAGTCTTCTGGCTCCAAATGTGCTTTTTGCTTTATGCCATTACAAATTTTACTCCTTGTGAAAGGCATGAATTCAGGACTTAATTCTCACCAACAGAGCCAGTCAGCCTGCTGGGCTGTAGTGGGGGAAGAAGGAGAAAAAGTCAGAACGCGATTCTTGTTACTTTTCTCAGCGTTCTAAAACAGTAATTGAGGTCATAGTATGTACTTGTTTTCCATGGTCTAGAGAAATCCTGGTAAGAGCATTTGTTACCAGGTGTTTCATTGTTTTTGAGTCAGTGAGATTCCTTTCAACTTTAGAATGCCATCTGGTGGTGGTGGTTAGAGGTGACTTGCTTTTACTCTAGCATGTTCCTCCTTGCTTGTCATTATGAAAGTTCCTAAATTGAAAGTGCATTGAAAGTGCATAATCAGAGGCCCTACTGTAATGGTTTTTTTTTTGAATTCTTATCTCTCCAAGATTAAAAACCTCTGACTGGTTTGTAAATATAGAAGCATCACTTTTTTGTTTGATGCTCCCAAACTCATGTCTTAAATCATGTTTTTTAAGTTGTGGACCATGACCCATTAGTTGATTATGAAGTCATTTCAGTGGTTGAAACACCTCTGAGTTTATGGCTCAAAGATTCATATCTTTAATCAGTGTTTTTCAAACTGTGGTACAGAACTTGCTAATTGTGAAGTCAAGTTAAGTGGGTTGCAACCATTATTTAAAAACAGAGAACAGAAACTAAAAAGAAAATAGAGTGGTTCTCAAAGAGTAAGATTAAGTAAAATTTTAATTTTGTGATATAAGTACATTTGCATTTACATTTTTACATTTGTCTGTGTACTGGGTTCACATTTTAATGATGTGTTTCTTTGGATTGTAGCCAAGCATGACATCCACTCATTATTGTAATATCCCCATCTACTGGTACGTAAGGATATTGCCACTGAAAGATTTTAGGAAGGTTGTTGGCCTATGGTTATTTTTGTTCTGTGCCTTGTATGAACTTTTCCATTGTGATTTGGTAAGTATATATATTTTTTGAATAATAGTTTTTGTCATTAACACATGTCTAGATTCTTTCTGATCAATACCAGATGCAGGATGTATTGGAAAAATCTGATCACTTGATGGCTGCGGCAAAAGATTTGTTTGTTGATTTTCCTCGTAGGCGCACAGGTAAAAGTATTCAATTCAAACAAAAGCTTCTTTTTCTTAGTAACCGTAACCCACAACTGGCTATTTGGAAAGATTTGAAATCTTTTGTCAGGCATCATATTATTTATATTACAAGTACTCTGGAGTGGATAGCATATAGCACTTGTTAGGCATAGATTCATTATAATTTGTTTGCTTTTCATTAAGAATATTAACTACTACAAATCACTGAGCTAAGGAAAGGTAAATTTTTGTATGGTACAATGTATAAGATTTTATAATTTCAAATATATGACTTTTCAGCTTATTAAATTATCATAGAAATTATTTGTTTATATATAATTTGAGTAAAGCTTAATTTGAAACCTAAAACAACTTCAGTTTCTTCCTGAAAGGAACTTTGCCTCTTGTCAGATACATAGCATTATTCACCTTAATGTGTATATAACCCATTGTTCATCTTAATCCTTAAAAACAGATCATTAGTTTTTAGTTTAAAGTTTGAATCCTGGCTCAGCCACTTATTAGTGTAGGCCAGTTGCTTCCTGTCTTTGAGTTTCAGTTTATTGATCTGTAAAATAATAATAGTTAATGATCTCATAGGATTTTGTGAGGGTAAAATGATTTAATATATGTAAAAGCCTTTAAGAATGGCACTTGGCATATAGTAAGCACTATTTAAGTGTGAGCTGCTCTTACTGTTATTTAAGATTTTCATATGACACAAACCTATGGCAGTATATAGTGCTTGTGAAGTCAATTTAATTAAAACAAAATCATCATAACTTATTTTCCTTCTGCAGGGTTTCCAAATGTAACAATGGCTCCTGATTCCTCTCAAGGTCCCATTGTGGTAAATCAAGACCCTGTCACCCAGGCCATCCTTAGTGAATCTGTGTTAGTGCCCCAGGTAAATATGCTCTGTTCACAGCCATAATGCTCATGCTGAAATTCAGTTTAAGTTGATGTAGGCACTGTAAATATTTCAATAGCTTAAATATCAACAAATACCAAGTTGTGGTTGCTAGAATTATTCTTACTTGAGCATAATGCACTTTCTGTAATATTTGTACTAAACAAGATAGGAGTGGATAATAATAGTTACCATTTATTGAGTGCTTACCTAGGAAGTAGTACTATTATCTTGATTTAGCAGATGAAGAAATTGAGGCTCAGAAAAATTAAGTGACTTGTCCAAGATCACTAGCTAGTTAGCATCAGAGATGGTGTTCAGATCTAGGCTGTCTGGTCCCATGAGACTGTGCCATCAGCCACCAGTAAGGAAATAGCAGGGAGTCTTTCCATTTTCACTTTGGAGTCAAGTGGGTCTGTGTTCATATTCTGCTACTTCCTGCTGTTTGATCTTGAATTGATTTCTTAAAGTATCTGAGTTGGCTCAGAGTGTTTTTGTTCTTTGTTAAATGGGAATAGAGTATAGATGCTCTGATGGTTGTGAGGATCAGCTGAGATAAGTTATGTAATGTGTGTAGCACAACACCAGATACAAGTTTCTCACTGAACATTAGTCCCTTCTAATGTATTTTAGTCCCTTTTAATGTATTAGTGTGTTTAAAAAGTAGCCACCCAGGAAACTTGGAATTTATTGACTAGTTCCATGGTAAAATTACGTTATAATAGGAAAATATTAATTAGCTGTATCTTAGCCTAATTTGGACTCTTAATTAGTCAAAATGTTAAAAATTTTGAGATAGGAAGCATGTCCTTAAAAAGGCATGAAGAATGTAATATAAAAATAAGACAACTTTTTATGAATAAGTAGGATTCAGTACCTGTTTAATGCCATTTCCTAAGTTATTTATATCTTCCATGAAAGAAAGGAGATTTATCAATTATAGGGATGATCCTAGGGAGTTGCAAGACCCAGACTCATAAAAGACATACTAGGTATACTGTTTTCTACTTACAAAGGCAGTTAAGTAGAACGTACATGTAATTTAAATAGCCAAGACCCCTTAGGCCTATCCTAGCCAAAAACTGTTTATGTTTTGGCACTTAATAAGTTAGCTTTCAGGTAATTGTGGCTTCTATCATGGTGGGGTGGGGAAATAGCATGAGCTGAGGTTACAGAAACAGGGAGGAGCTAGATAATAATGAAGAGATCAGGAGCAGAAGTGAGAGTAGAGCCACTAAAGCATTTTAAGGAGAGTGGAGTCATGATGAAATTGACTGTAGTGTGGAAGATGACTGGGGAGGGGCAAGAGTGGTGGAGAGGATCTGGGTCGAAGACTTAGGATGGAATCTCAGGGAGAAGTGGTAAGGGAGGGCCTGACTCAAACAGTGGCAATGAGAAAGGGGGTAGAGGGGAAGAGGGACAGGTTTGAGAGATTAAAAAGGGATAAAATTGACGGGATTGGGTGGCTGATTGAATGTGACAGATGAGAAAGAAGGGTTAACTCTCAGTTTGTTGGCTTGAGTATCAGAGTAGATGGTGATGTTGTTCATGGTCTTAGGTAATATGGCAGGAACAAGGTTTCTGGAACAATAGTAGGAGAGGCCTTCGAAGGTGATCAGTTTTGGACATATTGAGTAATAGGATAGTTGACTAGGGGTATATCTTTCAGACAGTTGTATATAAATGTCCAGGGTTTGAGAGAGATCTAGATGAAGATAGAGATTTGGAAATTAGCAGCATTTGACTTGTAATTGCAGCTTTGGAATTAGAATCATTTGGAAAGTGAGTCAGATGAGAGGAGAAAAGATCCGAAAGGGAAACCATGAGTTGCATCAGATATAAGGGAAGTATAGAAAAAGAAGAACCAATAAAGCAGATTGAGGAGCAGCCAGAAGAATAGAAGAAAAACCAAGGAAACATGGTACCATGAAAAATAAAAGAAGACTGTGTCAAGAAGATTTTGAAGAAAAGAGATGAGTGGTCATTAATGCTGAATGAGTCAAAGAAGTAGGGGAAGGCAAAGAATGAGAACTATCCATTTGTTTTAGGAGGAAGTGTGTCGATGTTGACCTTGTAGAAAGCAGTTTGAGTGGAATGGTAGGGCAGAAGCAAAGTTACAGGGAATAGATGGTAAATGAGAAGTGGGGGACAACTCTTTCAAGAAATTTGGTGGTGAAAGAGAGAAGATAGTAGCTTGAAGAAGGTTAGGGTCAGGATAAAATGGCAGAGACTTGCTCACATTTAAATGTGGATGAGCTGAAACCAGTCCAGAGAGAGACTGTAGATGCAGGAGAGAAAAGACGAAATTGATGGAGTGGAAAGAGGTGAGGGTTTAGGTTCTAGGACACTGTAGAGGGATTAGCTTTAGAAGGAGGGACCTCTCTTCTGTGTTATGGCAGAAAGAAAGAATGAGTGTATATATAACCAACTTGTGTTGCTATTTTTATTGTTGTGTTGAGAAAGGCTCTTAATGAAGTAGATGATGATGAAGAAGGAGGAACTGTTAACAGCCAGTCAGAAGAAAGCGAGCATGAGTTGGATAGCTCTCTAAAGTCTCAGTCAAACACGAATGCAGACAGGTATGGATATAGGACATAAATATCTACAGTGCTTCCCTTTTTTCCAGAGCCATTTCTTTTTTTTTTCTTTATTGAGATAGAATTGGCATATAATATTGTGTTAGTTTCAGGTGTACAGCGTGTTGATTTGATACATATACTGCTAAGTGATTACTACCATAGCATTAGCTAATATGTTCATCACATGTAATAACCCTTTCTTTTTTGCTGTGAAAACATTTAAGATCTACTCACCTGGCAAATTTCAACTATATAATCACCATGCTGTACATGAAGTACAGTGTAAAGTTACTTATCTTATAACTGGAAGTTTGTATCTTTTTACCATCTCCCCATTTCTATCCACCCCACCACCCCAGTGCTGTCACCTGACCTCTGGTAAACACCACTCTACTCTGTATCTGTGTTTTTGGCTTTTTTAAGTTCCACATATAAATACAGTATTTGCCATTCTTTGTCTGACTTATTTTACTTAGCATAATGCCCTCAGTGTTCCATCTGTGTTGTCACATATGGCAGAATTCCTTTCTTTCTCATGGCTAAATAATATTTCATTGTCTGTGTATATATACACACCACATCTTGTTTATCCAATCATCTGTTAACAGACACTTGGGTTGTTTCATATCTTGGCTATTGTGAATAATGCTGTAATGAACCATGAGAGTGCAGTTCTCTCTTCAAGGTCCTGTTTTTATTACCTTTGGATATATACCCACAGGTGGGATTGCTGGATCATATAGTAGTTATATTTCTAATTTTTTGAGGAATCTCCATACTGTTTTCCATAGTGGTGGCTCCAATTTATATTTCCACCAATGGTGTACATACACTTTTCTTCACATCCTCACCAACTCTTGTTATCTCTGACTTTTCGATGATAGTCATTATAACAGGCGAGCTATTTAACATATATCTCATTCTGGTTTTGAATAGCATTTCCTTAATTATTAGTGATGTCAAGCACTTTTCATATATCTTTTAGCTATATATATCTTCTTTGGAAAAATGTTTTTTCAATTCTTCTGCCCATTTTATTTTTATCAGGTGGTTTTTATTTTTGCTATTGAGTTGTATGAATTCTTTATATTTTTAGGTATTAACTCCTTACATTATTTGCAAATATCTTCTCCCATTCACAGGATGCCTTTTCATTTTGTTGACCATTTCTTTTGTTGTGCAGAAGCTTCTTAGTTTGATTAGTCTTTGTTAATTTATTTTTGCTTTTGTTGCTTATGCTTTTGGGGTCATATCCAAAAATTTGTTAACAAGACCAGTGTCAAGGAGCTTTTCTCAGGAGTTTTAACATTTCATGTCATATTAATGTCTTTAATTCATTTTGAGTTAATTTTGTGAATGGTGTGAGATAGGGGTTCAATTTCATTCTAATGTATGTGTTTTTCCAACATCTTATATATAAGCATTTTGGTTGTTTCCACCATTTTCCAATTACAAAAATTTTAATTACGATGAGTAATGTGTATCTATATATTTTTGTATTATTGGAAGTCCATATGTAGAGTAAGTTGCTACAAGTGGGATTTTTTGGTTAAAAGGTAAATGCTATGTAATTTTGTTCAGAAATTGCTCAATTCTGTTTCATGAAGGTTGTAGTATTTTGCACTCTCATTGGAAATATACAAGAATGCCTGCACCAGAGTGTGTTTTCAGACTCTGATTTTTGCTTGTTTCATATGTGAGAATTATATCTTAGTGTAGTTTATTTTGCATTTCTCTTATGAGTAAAATTGAAAATCTTTTCATTTATTTAAGGGATATTACAATGAATTGTCTGTTCATTTCTTTTTCCCATTTTTCTTTTAGGGTTTTGGTCCTTTTTTCTTAATTTGTAAGCATTGTTTACATATTAAGGGTATTAGTCTTTTATTGTGTAATATGTTATATTTTCTCCAACTTTGTTGTCTTTTTGAATTTGCTCTGGCATTTTTTTTTAACTCATTCAAAGATTAAAAAAATATATGTAGAGTTGGAATTCATCATTCATTGTTTTGCACATGGATCTTGAATCATACTCTGAAATTCTTTCCTAAATTGGTTTTGGAGGAATTTGCTTATGTTTTCTTTTCTTCTAATATTTGGTGTGGTTTTATTTTTTCCATTTAATTCTCTGATCCATTTAAAGTTTACTTTTGGTATATAGTGTGAGGTATGGATATAGTGTTTATCTTTTTCTAAATGGCTATCCAGTTGCCCCACCACCATTTTTTAAAAAGATTGTTCTTACCTCACAGATTTGAGATGCTGCCTGTGTACATAAACTGCCATGTGTACTTGCATCTATTTATGGACTTTTTATTCTAGTCCATTGGCCTTTTTTCTCTAGTGGTGTTCCAATACCACACTGTTTTAATTAGAGAAACTTTATACTTTAATGGATTTTCCCTCCTAGCTCTTTTTAATTCATAGTTTTCTTAATGATTCTTGCATGTGTATTTTTCCATATAAACTTTACTATAAATTTATCTAACTTCATGAAAAGAAGCTTATTGTATTTTTGTTATATAAATAAATTAACTAGGGAGAACTGACATCTTTATTGAGTTTTACTATCTAAGAATGCAGTATGTTTTTGCATATGTTATATTCCACTTTTTTTGTTTTTGCAGGGTGTGTTAATGTTTTTCTTATATAGGTTTTGCTCATTTCTTGTTGTTTATTCCTAGATATTTTATGTTTTAATTTTAATTACTCTTTTAAATGGGATTTTCTCTTCCATTACACCTTTTAACTAGTTTTTGTTTATGAAGGTTTTTGATTTGAGCATGTTATCTTGATATCCTGCTACTTTATTGAATCTTAGTTGAGTTAGTTTTAGAATTGATTTTCTAGGATTTTTTAGGTAATCTATCATGTCATCTGAAAATAGACATAATTTTACTTATTGTCTAAGTCTTATACCTCTAATTGGTTTCTTATTAATTTCTTTAATTATTTATTTTTATTTTGATATCTTTAATGTACAGTTACATGAGCAATATTATGGTCACTAGACTCCCCCTATTATGAAGTCCCCATCACATACCCCATTACAGTCACTGTCCCACAGCGTGGTAAGATGCTATAAAATCACTACTTGTCTTCTCTGTATAATACTTCCTTCCATGTGTCCCCCCCTCCACATTATGTGTGCTAATCGTAATGCCCCTTTTTCCCCCTTATCCCTCCCTTCCCTTCCCATCCTCTCTAGTCCCTTTCCCTTTGGTAACTGTTAGTCCATTCTTGGGTTCTGTGGGTCTGCTGCTGTTTTGTTCCTTCAGTTTTTGCTTTGTTTTTATACTCCACAGATGAGTTAAATCATTTGGTACTTGTCTTTCTTTGCTGGCTTATCTCACTGAGCATAATACCCTCAAGCTCCATCCATGTTATTGCAAATGGTAGGATTTGTTTTCTTCTTATGGCTGAATAATATTCCATTGTGTATATGTACCATGTCTTCTTTATCCATTCATCTACTGATGGACATTTAAGTTGCTTCCAATTCTTGGCTATTGTAAATAGTGCTGCGATAAACATAAGGGTGCATATGTCTTTTTCAGACTGGGCTCCTGTATTCTTAGGGTAAATTCCTAGGAGTGGAATACCCGGGTCAAATGGTATTTCTATTTTGAGTTTTTTGAGTAACCTCCATACTGCTTTCCACAATGGCTGAACTAATTCATATTACCACCAGCAGTGTAGGAGGGTTCCCCTTTCTCCACATCCTTGCAAACATTTATAGTTGTTTGTCTTTTGGATGTTGGCCATCCTAACTGGTGTGAAGTGATATCTCATTGTGGTTTTAATTTGCATTTCTCTGATAATTAGTGATGTGGAGCATCTTCTCTTGTGCTTGTTGGCCATCTGAATTTCTTCTTTGGAGAAGTGTCTGTTCAGCTCCTCTGCCCATTTTTTAATTGGGTTATTTGCTTTTTGTTTGTTGAGGTGTGTGAGCTCTTTATATAATTTGGATGTCAACTCCTTATCAGCTTTGTCATTTATGAATATGTTCTCCCATACTGTAGGATGTCTTTTTGTTCTACTGATGGTGTCCTTTGCTGTAGAGAAGCTTTGTAGTTTGATATAGTCCCACTTGTTCATTTTTGCTTTTGTTTCCCTTGCCCAGGGAGATATGTTCATGAAGAAGTTGTTCATCTTTATGTCCAAGAGATTTTTGCCTATGTATTTTTCTAAGAGTTTTATGGTTTCATGACATACATTCAGGTCTTTGATCCATTTTGAGTTTACTTTTGTGTATGGGATTAGACAATAATCCAGTTTCATTCTCTTACATGTAGCTGTCCAGTTTTGCCAACACCAGCTGTTGAAGAGGCTGTCATTTCCCCATTGTATGTAGCATGGCTCCTTTATCATTTATTAATTGACTATATATGCTTGGGTTTATATCTGGGCTCTGTAGTCTGTTCCATTGGTCTATGAGTCTGTTCTTGTGCCAGTACCAAATTGTCTTGATTACTGTGGCTTTTTAGTAGAGCTTGAAGTCAGGGAGTGTAATTTCCTCTGCTTTATTTTTCCTTCTCAGGATTGCTTTGGCTACTTGGGGTCTTTTGTGGTTCCATATGAATTTTAGAACTATTTGCTCTAATTTGTTGAAGAATGTTTTGGTATTTTGATGGGGATTGCATAGAATCTGTAGATTGCTTTAGACAGGATGGCCATTTTGACAATATTAATTCTTCCAATCCATGAGCATGGGATGTGTTTCCATTTATTGGTATCTTCTTTAATTTCTCTCAAGAGTGTCTTGTAGTTTTCAGAGTATAAGTCTTTCACTTCCTTGGTTATGTTTATTCCTAGGTATTATTCTTTTTGATGCAATTGTAAATGGAATTGTTTTCCTGATTTCTCTTTCTGCTAGTTCATCATTAGGAATGCAACAGATTTCCATGTATTAATTTTGTATCCCACAACTTTGCTGAAATTAGAGATATTAGATCATATATTAGATCTAGTAATTTTGGAGTGGATTCTTTAGGGCTTTT